GTGATGTGTGAGGTAGGAAACCTCCAATGGTGGAGATGACACCTTAAGACGAAGGATTTAGCCTGTATGTGTGTATGTACGAGTGTAAGAAAGCTGCAGATCAATATGGCAAAACTGAATAGTGGATTTTTCGCTTAATTGGAGATTGCAATTGGTGTTGAGCGTGAATGTGGGAGGCGCGCTGTTGAAAGTTGAAAAAACCCCCTGCCTGTTGGACGTCAATTGACGGCAATTTAGTCCCTAGTAACAACAAATTACCATCAAGGGCGTAGATATTTAATTGAAGGCTTCCCCCTAGAAAAAATCTAGCGGCGTCGCCCCAGCTTTAAACAAACAATTGGAGATCAAGGCTCCGGTGAGCAGCAGGAGATGCGCGCTTGGGAGCGGCGCATGTTAGACTTGGCAGTAGGAAAATGTAGCCAAAATCCGATCGAAACAAGCGAATTAACCGGATTAGGAATATGAGCAACAGTCGGGTGGTGACCAAGTGAGCACTGTTCAAGGTAAGAGCTGGCACGGCTCATGCATAAGAAATGACATACCTACATGCGAAATGGGTTGAACATTTGGTAAGAAAAGCTGAAGGTCTTGACGATTTGATTGGATTCACACAGGTGTTGCAGAACCAACTGAACGGAACTGCGTTACATCACAGTCGAAGCCACAAGCTCAAACACACGCGCCACACTGAATGATCCGATCGTGGGTAGTTGGGGTCTACCCCTGGTTCAACGCCATCTTTAAATTTATTCACTTGGGCGCCTACCAACCAGTTTGCGCAACCCTTTTTCACTTCAACAAATTATTCCTGATTGAAACGATGACGCCAGCAAGGCAAAAGTGGGTGTAGTTGAGAATCCTGCGGGCCGCACAGATGGGGGTTCGGATCTATTGATTATTACGCATCTATCGATTCGACGTTCGGGGATGAAACGCTGCGTCCGCAGGAATAGACTCATTAGGCCGCCTGCCGCTAATGGTAGGTGGGGAAAAAACGCTTGTTTACCTCGCAGTGGCACCACAACAACGAAACGAAAAAAGGGCAGCAGGATTTAACGAAAACCACCACGACACTGTTACAACGCCATGTCAGCAAATGCGCTGTGTGTCCCTGCGGACGCTGTTCGGCACATATCGGGGTTGTTCGGGGTACAAAGAACCGCGAACTCTTTGAATCTTTCAGCGCATAATCTCGACGGTTTTCCTGCTGCGCTCCGCACACTGTGGAAATCACCGTTATGGCCGCGCAGTTGGCCGTTTTGCCACAACGATGCCAGCGCTTTCATCCTGCGGCTCCGCTCGGTCAGTCCGGCAAAATTACCCGATTTGTCTTCTAAAAATAATCCACTATTTATTAGTCTATTTTGCTTTTGCCACTCTCGCACCGCAACATGTGGAAGCCCTAGACTGATCTGCGTGCTCATCTACGTATCTCAGTTTCACTTGAAACAATGCGCATCGTAGAATCATGCTAATGTGGAAAACTTTTACAAACCTATAAAAATCTCCATAGTGTTGCCAGACTGCAATGTTCACCCAAACGAGTCGAGGGAATTTCCGAGTCCGAATAATTTTGCCTAAGTAAAAACGTTACAACATTGCATTTCGTTTAGTTTTCTTAAACTGCAAAAACTATTATATAAATACTGCGTCATCTAAACCTGATTTTCACCATTTTCCAAGTGTTTTGCGGCAATTTTTTGGACAAACCAAGTGACTAAGTGTTCTTAAGGGCAAACTGATCCTTTAGACGCATGTTTAACTTAGCTAATGGAATTTGCGGGTTTCTTCCGGATCTTCGTTAAAACGTCTAAATCTAACAGAACTTCGTTCTTTTCTACCTGAACCGCGACAATTTCACCCGTAAAACAAAAGTAAGATGAAAATCTGCCTGACAATGGCTGTGTCATCTGCACGTCGTAGTCTCGTAAGTTTTCGACCTAAAGACCCAAACATGAAACATTCGTAAACCAGGATTATTTTGCTTTCTGATAAAGCGCGTCGTTTTACCTAAATAAAATTAAAATCCCACTAAACCACAACCTACCGGGTGAGCAATAATAATAATGTTTTCCAGGGAAAGACAAATAGAAATCGCTCAAATGCAGTCTAAACATAGAGGCGAGATTACCGTATCGCCGATTGCGTCCATGGCCTGTTAGTAATGACGTCTTCAAGCAGTTTTGGCAACAATCTACTGACCAAAACAGCAGTAAAAGGGCATTTTCAGCGCCTCTAAGTAATTGGAGAATGAATAATCGGCCTCTTTGCATCTGAACAAACCGGCAAAAAATGTTCTCAGTTGGTGCAATTTTTAGAAATGTGGTTCTAATGGGCAGAATGATTCTTTAAGGTCACATTCTACACCCGAACACCGTGAAAACCCCATGCATTCCGGCTGAAAAATGTCGTCTCTAATTTACTAAAGTGTACTTTCTCCCCAAATAGGTATTCGATTGTTTTCAGTGGGAGAATTCCGGCTACTTCCAGCATATTTGTAAAAAATCGCAATTCGCTCTCAAACTATTTTTGTTTTTCTTTTAATAATATTGTCGCAATATTAGACACTTTTTAATTCTGGGAATGTTAGCCGTTTCTTGGCAGTTTTATTAGGTATATCATCTGGTAGCTACTGGAGGTTCGACCCTGATTGATGACTTTTTCGCACTTATCGGAAACCCCGTCGGTTTCAGAGGCTTAATGGCATAATTAGTTTTAAGAGGATTAAATCCTTCAACCGATGATGCAAAAACATTTAGGGTGTTCCAATTAAAATAAGCCACAAATTGGCAATTGAATTTTAAAAGTAAAGTTTTAGGACAACCAGTAAAAAATCACTTTGGTATACAGGGTGTTTGGTAAGTGAGTAGATGCATTTGTACAGGAGGTGATTAAGTGTTAGGTGCCTAAGTATAAAATCATATATGTATAGCAAAATAATCGAAAATAACGTGCACTATCACCTATATACATACTGTATATGTATATGAGCACGAAATTACAAATCACTCGCAAATAGGGTGTTTTCATTGTATCAAAAATTCCTACAAACTGAACATTAATCTATGGTAATATGTATATATGAAAGATTAAATAAGTTTATACTATCTATCCATTTCTATTTTGTTAAATATTTAATAAACAAATTCAGCTAAAATTCAAATTCTTCATGAATCTCTGAAACGCAATCCTATTGGTTGTGACGTCTCTGGTCATATAAATGGCGGCTTGTTTACGTTCTGTGCATAGTGTTTAGTTGTGTGGTTGTGTTTCATTAATTATTTTGTGGATTTACATAATTTATAGTTTGTGTTAAACTAAAAATGGCTTCAGAAGGATTCCTTGAAGGGTCAACAAACAATTTACCATGTGTACATATTTTTATGGTTACCGAATTTTTAAAAAACGATGAACGCTTTAATTCAGCCGAATTTAAGGGTGTCAAAGCAGAAGCGTGAGTAAAAATCCGTAAATTCATTATTAGTTATTCTCTCCTTGATATACTAATCTGTCTGCATTGGTTTAAATTAGGTAAATGATATACAGAACTTCACTTATTCAACTTAACCTAACTTATACACATGGAAAGTAAAATGAACTCTTAAATTTGTATTTTGGGCATCACGAGAACAATATGATGATATCGGATATGTGGAATTGAAACGCGAGGATTCTTTGCACTATACAAAGTAGAATTTGCCCAGAACACAAAGTACCATCAAAGGCATATTCTATCTGCCTCATCATTAGCTTTTTGTTAGTACTTTCAATAAAATGATCCTCGCAACAAAAAAACATTGATTTTGATTTAGGAACACCACGTCTAGCTGCTTTGAACCGTAAAACTTTACGTGCATAATCATGAGGAACGGTTGGAAAGAGTTTGTTTGGAGCACTTATTGAGGCATCCTGGCACAAAACACCACTTATATAATCAATAAAATAATGATAATCACAATAAATGAAATAACAAAACAAAGCTGCGAAAACAACAAAATAAACACGAGTCACTTTGTTGATATGACCTGCTACGTCACAATCGGGATAGGCAACCGACGATACGGATTCGGCGTTTTTGGCGGAAAATATCTGATTTGAATTTCAATTCGCTTTGAAATTATTACGGACTTTTTTGGCAAAAAAATTATACCAGTGGAATGTTTGCTATAACTACTTTCTATATATCAACGTTAAAAAAAAAGTGAAAACACCCTATTCTGAACATTTTCGAAAATGTTCAGGATGAACTAGCAGTTTTAAGAAAAATGGGAAGGATGCCATAACGGCGCGGTTTAAAAAATTGATTTGTTGCAGTTTTCGAACCTGCCCGATTTGGCCCCTGGTGAGTTTTTCAAAATAGATTGTGCATAGGTTTAATCAGTCTGACTAGCGTCTATCATGCAAACATACATGTTTTCCAAGCATGAGCGGAAATTTTGTGCTGGGGGCAATATTTGTTTATGGAAACAAACGGAAGTTCTAAAAACTACTGAATTTTGTAACACGATGGGAGGAGGGAGGAGTTAATGGGGAGTTTTCTGGTGTATCAAAAGGAGACGCACTATTTCGCAGTTGAAATTGAGTTCAGGGTGATTGTTTGATGAGAGGCGAGCCAAATGTCGTGCAAAAGGGGACAGTAGTGGCAACTCGGCATCGTCGCCCGTTTTCCGCGAATTCCTCCACCCTATATTTTAATAATAGCCAATCTATTGATATGAATGAGGTCGCGCACGGGCAGGACACCATTTTGGAGTGTTTTGAAAAATTCTCCCAGCCGGGAGAAATTAGTGGAAAATCTGGATGGGGGGCGGAGTGTGAACCCGCTTAGGCAATCGGGGACCCTCGGCCGATTATCACTTTGCTATGGTGAATTGTGGGTGATAAAGGCAGCGGAGAAGTGAAGTGTTGGAGGAGTGAAGGATGCGAATTTAAAATTGCCGGTGATGTCATGCGCGCGCTTTGCGGGGTGTCCGCGCAAAATCTCAAAGTTAAACACTTACGCAATAATTCGTCCTTGTAAATTTCCCAGTAGTGTCGGCGTCAGCCAATTGAAAACTCCACAGTTTATTTATTGAAACACATCCAAACACAACATGATGCAGTTCGGGTTGAGCGAAAGATGGCAGGATCGCACGGCACTAGCTCGGGGGTACGACCGGGCTCGGGGCGCAAATGAACAAACGGAGTGAAGCAGTGGCGCACACCCTCCCAGTAACTAAGTAGAACTCGCTCGTGCCCCGGCGCAACCCGTGCTGAGGATACCACCACCACAATGCTCGAGTTAACCTTGGAAATCGTGGATGTCTAGATGATCAGCTCGGTTGTGGGGATCGCGGGCGTTCAGTCAAGATTTCCCCACATCTGGCCGACTAGATTTTAGCTCTCACATCGAGGGCTTAAACAGTCGCTCAGTGAAGTGACCGTAGGCGTGCGCTGGTGGGTTTCAAGCAGTGCCCGTTTGGACTGCGCCTCGAAATGGGGATACACGTGCACGCTATTCGCCGGGGTGGTTGACCCCCCCTTGAAAAGAGGACGACTTTTTGACTTCTCGTAACACTTTCCTGCCCGTATCGCCCGCTCGCCCGCCATGCTGAGGGTGCACTCCATGGTAATCGGCACCTCGTTTACCACACTTTGACTCTCAGATCAAATTTCGCATGTCGGGGCAACAGGTGAAAAGTTGGCCGATGTCATCGTTTTCCGCTATCATGCACCCATCATCCGCGTATACACGGTGTCTCATCGGGACCCATCGCAATTTATCCATGCCAAACTAGGTCTGGGTAACTCAGTGACAGAGATCTACCGATACCATGCAGATTTCTACCGAAAAGTAACAAATAAAAGTTTAAACAATTTCCGTGGATTACTTAAAATAATATAACATACAGGGTTATTCACGCTTCGTAGTTTGGTGTAACAAGAAATAATATTTTATATCCCAATGATAATAAACAAAATACGTCAACGTCAACGTCAACTAGTCGTTCTGTGCACCTTTTGGTGTTGTTTAATTTAAGGTTCCAATGTATCCAAGTTGCCTATGCCATTTACACATGTCAAATCATTTATTTTAATTGTCAGTTTAGACTGCAACGTCACTTTTTGACACCTAGAGTGGTATTGTTTTATGTACTTGTAGACGTGTTGGTCGTTATTTTAATATTATTATTGTGTTGCTAAGTGAAAATGAAGAATTATCCGAGAGAAGAGCGTATTGACATGATTTTCACCCTTGGAGACTGTCATAAAAATTGTTTATTGGCTTCTCGAGTTTATGCTCAAAAGTTTCCTGAAACAAATCATCCTAAGCCAACAGTTTTTAAGCGCTTATCACACCAATTTGAGGAAACTGGGAGTGTCAATTATAAAAACCCATTACAAGGAAATCTGCCACTGAAGATGAAGAAAATGTTATCACGATAATTGGTTCAGTTATCGAAAATCCCAATGTTAGTCGAAATCTAATATTCAAAAGTACTAACATTAGTCAATCAAGTATTTCCAGAATTATCACAAAGCACAACTTTTATCCTTATAAAATTCAGCTTTGCCAAGAACTTTATGGAAATGATTTTGAAAACCGAACAGTTTTGCATGTGGGTGTTAGATAAAGTGGCAGAAAATGAAAAAATTTTCGAAAATGTGTTATTTAGTGATGAATGTACTTTTCATAACAATGGTCTCGTGAATAGATACAACTTTCATTATTATTCTGATACGCACAGAGGGTCATGAAAAATCAAAATAGTTGGTCAGTTAATGTGTGGGGTGGAATACTGGGCTAATATTTAATTAGACCCAATTTTTTTGAAGGACATCTAAATGGTTTGATGTTTCTCCAGCTTCTAATAAACATCTCTCAATATTATTAGAAGAAGTCCCTTTCAATATTAGAACCAACATGTGGCTTCAATTGTATGGAGCTCCGCCTCATTATCACTGCGAAGTTCGGCAATTTTTAAATGCCAACTTTCAAAACAGCTGGATTGGCAGAAATGGGTTTCAAAATTGGCCCCCCAGATCACCGGACTTAACTCCACTAGACTTCTTTTTGTGGGGTACATAAAAGGAATTGTCTACCATACGCTTACGACAACTTCACACGATTTGAAAATACGCATAAGAGACGCTTTTAAAACTGTAACTCCGCTAATGTTTTCCAGAGTTTGCAGTTGTTTTGAAAAAATAATTTACAAGTGCCTGGAAATGGACGGTCATTTCGAACATTTGTTATAAATAATTTGCCTTTGTTTTATGTTATTGTTGATATGTTATTTAACCTTTTAATTAAAAAAAAAACACCAAATGGTGCAGAGAACAGATTATTTGGAAATCTCGTCACCTCCATTCCTGTATGTCCAATGTGGTTTTTTAGTTTCGACTCAATTATTTTTTATGCTTTACTTTCTGCTCAAAAACGCTCTTTTTGCAGTTTTACTTAAAAATACTGACGACCTGGAGGACTTTTACGCGAAAAATTACAAGATACATTTTTAGCTTTGTAAACATTTTACAAATACTTTTTTCAGTGGCGAATTTGGCACAAAAACGGAAATAAATTCTTACCGTTTTTTACGAAAACCGTTAAGGTTCTTAAGGTCTCTAAAATATTAATTTTGCCAGAAAATTCGCCTCAGCGGTTTGCAGGAAACTTTAGAAAACCAATTTCAGCTTCGAGTTGGTCACAAAAACCAAATAATTTTGTTCAGTTCTTTACCGAGTAAGTATTAAGGACTATCTTAAAACCGACCAGAGAGCAAAAGTTGACAAAAAATTATTGGGAAAATTCGCCGCCCTCATCGCTCTGAGGATTTCTAAAAATCCTTTAAATTTTCAGGTCATTCCAGTTTTAGCGAAGTTTCTATTAAGCAATTCTTTAAGTTTCTATAAAGAATATCTAGATGTCGACCACAAAATCGAGTTTTGAAAATATGTACATTTTGCCGTATCCTCAATTGATTTCTATTCTGTTTTGTGCAACTTTGCCAAAACCTTGCCAAGATTGGGAAAATAATCAAGTTTCCAGCTCCGGCCAGTTTTGTTCTAACCAATAATCTGCGTTCGATGCGCCTGGAAATTCTTGTCTTCCTCTCGATTCCATTCGTTCATCCATCAACCGAATCTCATCTGTTTCTGCATCTTCAATTCCAAAACTTCTTTTCACAACTGATTTGTGTCTGATTTTCCTATTCAAACCCTACATTTCATCGCGTTTTCCTGCCCAAAAAAATTGCTCTTCACGCTATGGGCACCAGGTGGGGAGTTGCAAGGACAGTTTGAGCGACTGATTTTCAATTTGTAGATGTTTAAAATCCCCTTAGTCATCATTAGCTGGGGGCGCATAAATGAATATGGGAGCGCCATTAGCAGTTCTTTGACTCCAAAGCTCAGGATTTTGGTCGCATACATCTGCGAAATAAATTTGCAAAATATGTTCAAAACATCCGAGAAAATGTTGAACAAAAATCTGGAAACATCCCACCTCCTAAACATGTTGCCTGTCTAAGTCATCAGGAAATATTATTTGGCACATTTGTAAACAAGCTGCCTATTCCAGCCACCCAACTAGTCCTAAGTCAGGCAAGCGAGGAGGCCAAAGCGCATCAGCAATTAATCAAATTCGTCACCTGTTACGGCACTTTGGAAGGAAACCCTCGAAAGTTTATCTGACGAGTCAAAGACCTTTCAATTTATGTTAGAGGACCTACGGTGACGCTGTCCTGATACTGTAGCCGATGAGCGGTGCATCTAATGATAACCTGCGGAAGATAAACGCTGAAGGAACCGAAATTGATCGGTCGAGAAATTGATAATAAATCAAACCGCATCGGATTTCATATCAACGAGTTTCCGGGCCCAAAGAGTTTCCTCCTAAAGGTTGCTTTAAAACGCTCCAGACTCTTCACCTGGAAACGCGTGCAATTAGGGGATGATTTTTCAGTTTAGAAAATGGGAGGAAGTTTACAAGTACGTTGGAACTACAGCCCTAACTGGGAAAGTTCATTTTTAAAACCCTCGAAACTCTTCACCTTCGACCTGTTTTCTACAGATTTTGTGCCAATTTGTACCCATACAGGCGGTACTTTGTTGTACAAATTATGATAGTATCTGTTGCGGTTGAACACGTACGGATGTAGTTCACAGATACCTAATATGTATAAGTATGATCGCACATAAATCGTACCATGCTGCATTATTTGCGCTTGTGGGTGGAAAAAACAGACATTACATTTACAATATCACCTTTTTATCCTCATTCTTTCCTTTCAACAAACCAACTAAGTTGGAAAACTGCATTTGCCCTCTCTGATGCAACAGGAGAGATTATTAGAAAAAGATCGTTTGCTTGACCACTTGGAGTTCGAAAACCATACATTTTGACTACATTTGGAACAAAATTTGCTATAAATTGGTGTAATTTGTGCTCATGCATGGTTCGTTCTGTAAATGAAAACACCGAAATTGCCAATAATGGCAATAATGGCAATATTTTCCATACAAGTAAACTGTTGAGATTAGATCCACTAAATCGACGACTCCATGACTTTTGGTGGCAAAACCTGAGAATCTAATCGATTGGAATCGAATTTTTAGTTGCTTTTCACGTCGCAAAGATTTCAGTCAATTGGAGAACAACTTTTCAATTTGCCATTTTAACAGCTAAAGCGATCAAATATTTACATTTGGAAGAAATGCAATATGAAAACGCAACATTTAACGAAAAATTTGAGAACAATCAAACTTAGGCTCTAAATAAATGATACAGGCTTTGAAAGTGTTATTTTCAGGCCAAACCCAAACGGTGAAAGCTAACAGACTCAAAACCGATTTGGGGGTGCCTGAGGTTAACACATCTTGAGATCTATACGTATTTACATCGATCATTCCGAACAGATCCAGTTTCATTTGTCATTGCAATACCTAGAAAAGCTCATTTGCTTTCAGTTTAACCGCAAAATTGACAAACATTTATTTGCACGTTTCGCGTTAAGTTGAAGAATTATTAGACTGAAACTGATTTGTTGGTTTTTCGGGCTTAAACAGGCATAGAAAGTGCTGAAAAATGTAGATAGATTTCCACTTTTCTCGTCATATTTAGGCATTTTGCCACAGAAACAAAAAATCTGGATGTATTTTATTCACTAGTTTGATTCAAAATCTAGCCAATATTTCTCATACTCTCGTTACTCATTTAAGACACACGACTAAGTTGCACATTTTTTGCCAGTTTTCACAGGCCTTTGACTCTGTTCAACTATTTTTATTCAAGAGTTGAGATGAAGAAACTCGCATTTTCAGTTTTCATATACTTTTATTTCCGCTTTCTCTTTATTCCAGGAAACTGACTGCGGTTTTTCCGCACTTGGGTGTGATTTTCCCAAGCCAACCATAACCTGGGTGGCGAATGTTTTGCACTGAGCGAACTGCTTAATTTAGCCAGTCTAAAATTATACCTATACATGCTAATGATGGGGTAAATATAGACGCAACTGGAACGCAGTTGATTTTATTGAAAATGTCGCATTAACAAAGGCCAGCAGCTTTATCGGTTGTTTTTTTGTTTGAATCATCAGGACGCTGCTGCTATCAAATCCCC